CGGCAGGGCTCACACGGCCAGGGCAGGGCTCACACGGCCAGGGCAGGGCTCACACGGACAGGGCAGGGCTCACACAGACATAGCAGGGCTCACACAGACACGGCAGGGCTCACACAGACACGGCAGGGCTCACATGGCCATGGCAGGGCTCACACGGACACGGCAGGGCTCACACGACCACAGGGAGGGGACCCCCATCACAGGCACAGGCACATGGCCACAGCCCTGCCAAGCTCTGGGAGCTCTGCACAGCCAGCAATCCCCTCCTGCAGCACCCTGCACGTTCCCGTGTCCGAGGTGGTGCCCACACATCCCCACACACCCTCATTCCATGAAGCTGAGGCTCCTGCTCCCCTGCACACCCGCAATTCCAGCTCAGCCTGCACGCAGCACGGGCCAGACCGCCCCGGGTGACGCGCTCACCCAGGGAATCACCTTCCAGGCTCCCCTTGAAGCTCACAAGGCTCCAAACACACTCCCAAAGCTCCAAAGGGCTGGTCTGAGGTGGGGAACATGCCAGGGAGCTCAGGGCAGGCGGGGAAGGGCTGCTGAGCGCTCTGTCGTGCAGGTGGTGCGGAGGTGCCTGGAGCTGGGAGCAGCCTCGGCGCGGTTCGTCAGCGGCACCATGGAGGACACGGCCTTCGCCCAGCACGTGGTGAGGGAGGCCCAGACCTCGCTGGGTACGTCTGCAACCTGCTCTGCACAGCGCCTGCAGCTCGGCCTGGCCGTGCTTTTTGCCACGTGCGAAATAAAAGTGAGGGAGATGGGGCGAGACGGGAAAAATTCTCCTTTAATTCTGCCCTTTGCAGCCCTGCTCCTCTGCCTGCATTGCTGCCTCTCAAACTGAACTGCGCTCTCGATTTCAGCTCTGTGGGCTCCTGACAGCCTGTTGCAGTATCACAGCCCCGAATTTCATCAGCGCGGTGCCGGGGTCTGGAGGATCCGGCGGCCCCGGCCACTGCGGCCATGGGTCACGGCTCAGAAATGCACCAGCCCAGCTCCGTGTGGAGCACTCCCCTCCCTCCCCGGCCCACAGACAATTCAGGGGTGATCTCCCTTGGGCCATGGGATTTGCATTTTGAACTACAAAAATATATCACAACAAAATATTTACTGGCAGCCACCCTCCAGGCTGTATCCCAGCTCTGGAGATAACAGGCCACAGCTCTGACCCAAAAACCTGATTTCCTTGGATTACACTTACTCTGCTCCCAGAAAATGTTTTGCTTGTTGCAGCCCTCTCCCCCCCAGCACTAATTCCCATTTTTCTGTTTACAGGAGGCCTTGACATGCTGATCCTGAACCACGTCGGCGCATCCTACTTTGGCTTTTTTGATGGGGACGTTGAGCACGTCCGAAAGCTCCTGGAAATCAACTTCCTCAGCTACGTGGCCATGACCACGTCAGCCCTGCCCATGCTGAAGGAGAGCGAGGGCAGCATTGTGGTGGTTTCATCCATGGCAGGTGAGTGGGCAGTGTCACCAGGGACTCACTCCAAAGGCACCTGCTGGTGGTGGGCCTGGCACCTGTCTCATTTGTCAGAGAGAGCACACGGAGACCCCAGGTGTCCTACAGGAGCCTTAACTACTTCACACTAAAACCCCACCTAAACCAGCCCCAAATGGGTTTGGGATTCTCTTGATGGAATTTGATTTCCACTCAATGCAATCGCCCCGTTTTGTTTTTTGACCAGTGCTGCAGTTTAACCCCATACATTGGGCAGTGTTCTGGTGATCAGCTCGGTGGCCAGAGACAAGAGTTTCAACTTTGCTCCATCTCTCCCTTCTGAGGGTTTTGTGGTTCCTGTGGGTTGCCCTGAGCAGAGATGTGAGCCATGGCTTTGGCCTTAGGAGCCGGAAGGCAACAAGAATATTTGTAAGGCTGCTGTTCAGGTGCCAGGATGACACTTCACTGCAGATTCCCTTTGGGTAAAATACTGTCTCTGATGAAGGGCAAAAGAGCAGCCTTGAGTGCTAACACAGAACTTCGCTCTGTGTCCAGGTAAAGTCGGGTTTCCCTTTACCGTCCCCTACTCTGCGACTAAGTTTGCCCTGGATGGATTTTTCAGCTCCCTGAGGCAGGAATTCACCATTCAGAACATTAATGTTTCCATCACGCTCTGCATCCTCGGCTTCATCGATACCGGTAAGAGCAGCTCTGTTGTGTCCCTGCTCAGGGCTGAGCATCCCCCTCCCAGCTCCTCCGCCACCACCCCACCCTCTCCCACTGCTGCAGCATCTCTGGGGTATCCCAAAAACCAAAAATCTCTGCCACCAAAAAACAGCCTCAAAACTCATTTCCTTCCCCACGCCACATAAACCCGGGTTTACAGGCTGGTACAGCCCAGCATCCCCTCGGGTGCCCACTCTCCCGCATCCCCGGGGGTCCCGCATCCCAGGGGGGGTCCCCGCATCCCCGGGGGTCCCGCATCCCGGGGGTCCCGCATCCCCGGGGGTCCCGCATCCCCGGGGGTCCCCGCATCCCAGGGGGGGTCCCCGCATCCCCGGG